AAGTCACTACTCAGTCGTAACTGTTCTAGCGAGACAAGCTTGCTAAGCATTACACCGCCTATGGTGCCCTATAACGCACACACACACATGTGTGTGTGTATATATATATATATATATATATATATATATATATATATATATATATTATTCTTTCTTTTTATGCGTTATTTGAGTAAATGATCTGTTTTAATTAAAAAGTGTTAATTACATACACTGTGAATATACTAGAAAATATGCGACACCAGACAGGAATCGAAACTGTATCTCATACGGAAACCGTTATTTAGCCTGACGTGCTGATACTGATTCAGATACAGAGGATATCATGTTCAGTAAAGCTGAAATTACTTATTAGGCTACTCAAAATGGGGATGTGTCGTGAGAGATTAGAAAATTAAAATAGGATACCCAGTTATCTCGGTCGTGTGCCACATTCGGTTAAAATAAATTGTGATCCGGATAAATAGTGCGTGATGGATAAATTGCCGTCTAAATTACACAAAATTGAAAATAACATTGACATCTCATCTTAAAAGATATATTTACCAAATTTACACAACAATATCTTTAGTAAAGATTAAATCTATTCAATAAAATCGCATTGGCTTCAACTACGTCTTCCAGACGACTTCTGATTCTTCTGTACGGTCAACATGTTTAATTTGGAGATTGAAGCCATAAGCCTTATCTTCAGTTCATCTTTGGTGTTACAACGAATTTTGTTGCACTGTCGCACAACTGTATGCAACACATAATAATCAAGGGTGTTGCAGTCTTGAGAGTTCGGTGTTGCAGGTATAAGTGAGGATATGGTCGCAGAAATTATATGACAGCCATGATTGGCTTCTATTGCTTGTGTGGCATGGTGAAAAGTCCTATTGCCAGATATAAGGTCTTCCAGCAGTCACCCTCTTGACCTCGGGCAGAACTACCTCCTCAAAGTACTTGATGTAGGCCTTTAAGAATTATCTGCACTCCCCTCAGATTGGCACACAAACACTCCGGCGCGAATGCCAAGCAGAACAGCTAGCTCTTTTCAAAGTTCTGATTGCGTGAACTGTGACATAGAGCTGTATTTCTTACAGACTGTGCCCAAATGACCCTACTACTCTGTGCAGTTAACAAACTCAAAAACAAACAATACGCATGCGCGAAATTAAAATATGAAATGGCGACAATTTACTCATTGCAAACAGCACAACATTTCTGGTTTTAAAACAGACATACATGCAATTCTGTGTCGTCGAAGTTCCCTTCTTGAAGGGTGAAATTCATTTTTGTTCTTTCTGTAATAGCAGCTTTTCTGTAAACAGCGCAAGTGTCTTGATCACCTTTAGTAGAGTAGGAAACTTTAGTGAAAACAGCTGACGAAAATGTTCTTTTTCTTCTATATGGACTTTCGTCATCATATATCTGAAAAGAGTTAAATATGTTGAATTAAAAAAATAGATAAACTAAAGTTGTAAATGAAGAAATTAACTATAATGTATCCTAAAACAATAGGGGAAAAATCTTGCCTATTTATTCAAATTAGTTTGGCACAAAACTAACGAATTCATCTGGAAATCAAATACAACAAAGAATAACAATCATTAAAGAAATAACAAATTAATGACATCAGAAATGTGCTTTGTATGGTTTAGAGTAATTTACTGTAAATATACTTTTTGGTTTCATTTTCTTTAAAATATATCATTGCAAATTTTCGTGCCCAATTACAAAATTAAAAACCATTTTTATATATTCACCAAAATACATTTATTATTCAAGTACATAGTATCCATTTATTTTAACAACTTTCTCCTATCCTTCTACAATCTTGTTCATACCATTTTCGTGTTTTCTGTTGGAATATGTTTGTGAGATAGGTTTTGACTGACTTTACTGAATCAGTTTTTATGTCATTTAAGTCGTTCTGTTGAAACCGGTACAAATGAAAATATTAAGAATCAGGTCAGAAGAATTAATTCGGTGCTGTAAGTTTTACCATTTCAACTGTTCAGCATTCTTCAAGATGCCTTTTACAACGTGCAGTATTACGTTGTCGAGGTGAAAATTGACAAGTTTTCGATTTGCCAAAATTGGTTGTTTTTCTTTAATCCAAGTCTATTCAAATGACGAATGGCAATTGAGATATCTATTTTCAAATTCTTTGCGATATCTCCTGTCGAAATCATCGTTTATTCTCCACAGTGGAAAACAGGTAGTCTTAATCGATGCCGATATGTCACCATGAGAGTGGGTGAGCGTTAGAGTTTAATATCATGCTAAAAATAATTGACCATTCAAAGAAGCACGATCCAAATAAACTGTAAATAAAATGTGTTGTTTTTTCTTTAGTTTTTGTCTCAGTTCCGACGCTTAATACTTTTGGAAATTCATAGAGCATAATATGGCGAAAGTCAAATACTTCATCCGTCATCTTTAAGGCATTCATTTGTGGACAAAAAGTCAACATTCAATAAATCTAAACTCGCAACTGAATGATGCAAGGTTTCAATCCACAAAGCAGCCGAAATTGGCACGAAAAGAAACGCAATTATCAAGATGCTGTCAATTAATATTAACGAGGAAAATCGTGAAGGAACATTTGATATTGTATACAAATAAGTATTTTTAGTTCTTAATTAATCTTTAGTTCAAAATTGTTTGTATATATATATATATATAATGCACAAATGTTTTTAAAAGTTTAAGGAAGATAGTCTAAATTACTGAGGTTTGTCCAAATAGTTTACATCATTATTTCATTTTTCATCTAAAAAACATTTCAGGAAATCATAAATTATTTACCTCCCCTGAACCGTTAATTATGCAAACCGCATAGCACCACCTCACAAATAAATTTTAACTTTCAGATGAATACAAGAAATGTGTCTTTGAAAATAATGAATGCTATATTTTTTGTCTTAAAAAGCAACAGTCCGATGATGACATTTTGTTAATGTCGAAAGTACTCAGAAATAAGACAACATCTACCAAAACAGTATTTTTTCTTTCCTTTTACTAACGTCACAAAAAGTCCGTGAATCTGAAAGGATCTTTTTTGAAAACAAGTAGACAAAATTTGTCAATATTACTCAATGAATCATGTCTACTCAATATATATATATATATATATATATATATATATATATATATATATATATATATATATATAGTAAAAGTAATAAATCTGTTGGTGTATAATCTAAGAGGTTCGTAGTAATATAAAATATTAAAGCGGTTCTACAAAATGTTCTCAATCTATTTATTGTTACATAGCAATTAAATTAGTACATAGAAAGCACAAAATTACCTCATATGAAGAATAGACATATTTTAATTTTTAATGTACTGTATATATATATATATATATATATATATATATATATATATATATATATATATATATATATATATATATATATATATATATATATACATATATATATGTATATATATATATATATGTATGTATATGTGCGTATACGTGTAGTTACCGTTTATATATTATTTTTATAGATTAATGCAATTAATACTTTTTAATTAAAGAACAGCGCTTTTCTTCTAAATAAATTATATTTATAAAATAACGTATAAACGCAAATATATTGAAATAAATGTCGGACTATATCCTTTTTATCAGATATTGTCATTATTTACGTAAAGATATATTTCGTGAGCAGATATGTTCGATCGAGAAAAATCGTCGAAAATTTGTGTTTATAAACAGTAATTCGGATTTTGCTAACCGGGCGCTCCTTTGTAGCTGAAGGGTTAACAGCACGTCAGATCAAATGATGGTTCCCATTAGGGTTACAGGTTCGATTCCTGTCGGAGAAGCACGTACATTGTAGAAATTTCTCGTACATTCAGGTCAGTAACTGTAATTGATACTGTTTAATTAAAAAAAAAAACAAAAAAAAAAAACAGAGCATTTACTTAAATAAATTATATCTACAAAAATAACGCATAGACGGTAACTATATTAAAATAATTGTCGGAGTTAATACATTTTTTTTTTTATATATATATATATATATATATATATATATATATATATATATATATATATATATATATATATATATATATATATAGTGTATTGGGCAGGAGATCATTATTGAAACATGTATTGTTGAATAAAGCAGACAATGAATGTTAGTTATGTTTGATTATGAGCCGTTCTAAATTCCGTAAATTTGCCTTAATTTCTGGTGAATATAAAGAGGAAAATTTCAAACATTTGGATATTTTTTATTAAGCTGTTCCTTGATCTAAGCATTCAGCTCGTATGATTGCATTATGAGCACTGTTAAAAAATGGTAAGACGTTAGGTTTATAATACCAAGTAATTCATACACAGGTGTTCTCAAGGACACTTGGCACAGTGGATAAAGGCGTTAGCTAGATTCAGTGACAGGAGTTCAATACCCGGTTAAGGCAATGAAGAACTTTCAGAGGGAAATTAACAGGGGATAGCTGATAACGGACATCTATTAACACATGGCACGTGAAACTAGAACAGTCTACCGAAACCTTGTAATAAATATGGCGACGAATATGAGGACAATTATACATATAGACAGATACTGAGACAACTTCTTTTAAATGTCCATATAACTACTCTGAAGTTAACGATTTCAAAATTATTTGAATTGCAGAAATATATGTTGGTTATGGCAAATATTAAATTTGATCTATTAGCTTGCAACTAAAATTTAAATTGATTCTTGAAAATAACTTCTCATGTTAAAATAGAATTTTAAATGCTAGTTGTAGCATTTATTTGGAGCTACCTAATTGTAATTAAAAAAAAATATGTAAGAGGATATTAAGAAGAAAAATTAAAGAGAAAAAGACATAAAGTTAAAATAATGACAAAGGAGATTACTTCAATTAATTCAGAAAATAAAGGACTAAATAAAAAGTCAGGAAGAAAGAAAGATCTAAAAAATGAAGTAATAAATGAAGTAAATGAAAGGAAGAAAGAACTAAACAAAGAAAGGAAGAAGGAACTAAAGAATAAAAGAAAGAAAGTGCCAAGAAATAAGGACGAAAGAAAAAGAAAGAAAGAAAGTAAGAACCAAAGAAAAAGAAAGAAAGTAAGAAATAACTAAAGTAAAATTAAGAAAGAAAGAACTAAAGGAAAGAAAGGAAATAAGAAAGAAAGAACTAAGGAGAAATAAATAAAGAAAGAAAGAAAGAAAGAAAGAAAGAAAGAAAGAACTAAAGGAAAGAAAGGATGGAAGAAAGAAACAACTAAGAAGTAAGAAAGAAAGAACTAAAGGAAAAAATGTAGGTAAAAAGAAAGAACTAAAGAAAAGGCAGAAACTAAGAAAAAGAAAGAAAGAACCAAAGAAAAACGAAAGAAAGAAAACGATAGGAAAATAGAATGAATTAATGAAAACGATACAAATATTTAAAGAAAAATTCCTAAGGAAAAGACAGAAAAAGTAAAAGAAAGAACGAAATAAATAAATAAATAAATACATAAATAAATAAAGATAGATTGAAAAAGATAGGAAAATAGAATGAATTAATGAAAACGACAGAAATAATTAAAGAAAATTCCTAAGAAAAAACAGAAAAAGTAAAAGAAAGAATAAATAAAAACAAAATAGCGAAGAAAGAGACAAAAATAATGAAGAAAGAAAAAATGAAAAGAAAGAAAAAAAACAAACGATATAACTAAGAAAGAAAAACAAACGAAAAATGAAAGAAAAAGCAAATGAAAGCTAAAAAAGAAAGAAGAGATGAAAGAAAAAAAAAAGAAAGGAAATAATGAAGAAAGAACGAACGAAAGAAAACTAGAAAGACGAAATAATGAAGAAAGAAAGGACAGGGATAAAAACAGAACAAAAACATTAGAAAAGCCGAGAGGAAAGAGAAGAAAAGAATTGCCACAAACGAATAAGGTTCATAAATAAGAAAAATACAAATAAAAATAAGAAACTGAAATAAAATGTGTAAATTGAAGGGAAGCTGTTATAAAGTGTAAATGATCCACGAATCACTTGCAAGAGAAACCGTGGAAAGCAGGAATAAAAAGAGTCGTACATGTAAAGGAAGTGGGTAAAAAGAACGATAATAAAATATCGTAGACAGGACATAAAATGGGAAGAAAAGAAGTTGCAATGAGGAAAGGAACAATTAACCCTTTGCCAGGAGAAGGAACAACAGCCCGTTAAGAAATAGACAATAAAATAAACACTATAAGCAAAAGAGGCTATGCAACCGGGCCCTGACCGGCGCCCGTACGCCTACGTGTCGTTCAGACTAAACGACCCTGCACATGACGACCGGATATATTTCAGCCGGTGGCAACAGATTGTAAATTTCTATAAACCAGTGTAAATGGACACTGGAGAATCGTAAAGATAAATAAACGTTGTTGAGTCGGTGACATGACCACAGACTGGAGGTTTTGCCTTGCTCGGGTAAAAAGAAATAAAACCTACAAAAGCAGTAGTAGATTTAGAAAAAAAAAAGTGGGGTAGATTGCGCAATATTTTGTGAGGAGAATTTATTTTTTCTCGTTCGCTTGATTCTCTAGAACGTGTCTTCAGGAAACATTAAGGCTAATGCTTCTTCTTTATCTCTTATTTATAACTCATTTCGATTTTCTTTAAATCTATAACTAAGCAAAGTCATGACAAGCATGTTAATTATATGAACACTTACTTTTCGACGGGTTCTCTTTGAGACGTTTCTCGCATTAATAGCGAAAGTGTACACACCTGCATAGAATACAGATCTTGTTACTATTGTCTTCTTACAGATTCATATTTATTTATATCTGAATATTTACACACAAACACACACACACACACACATATATATATATATATATATATATATATATATATATATATATATATATATATATATATATATATGCGCATGTGTGTCTGTGTTTGTGTATATATTTACTAAAAAAGTAATTAGTTTTGTATTTGTTACTCCAACAGATTTTATTCACTTTAAACGTTATTTTTAGTGGATGCGAAAATAAATAAATATGGTATTTAACAAAAAAACGAGGAACTGCAGAAATATGAGTATCCACGAAAGATAACGCTGAAATATATATATATATATATATATATATATATATATATATATATATATATATATATATATATATATATATATATATATTGTTAGTTAGTTAGTTAGTTTGTTACTTTTTATGAAAAAACTAGGTAATCCGTATGGGTATCAAAAACTAGGTAATCCGTATGGGAAAATTTTCTTTTCATTTTTTTGGGGAAGTAAACTCTGATGATCCGCAGTCCTTTTAAAAGGGCTGTGGTTAAATAATTTATTGCATGGAACCTTAAAGTGGTCTGTTTTTATTTAAATTATATATATATATATATATATATATATATATATAATTTAAATATATATATATATATATATACAGTTGAGATGAGAACGAATAGCTCACACTTCTAACGTTCATAACATTTAATTTAAAAGTGGGCGCTACAAATTAGTAGAGCAATATTATTTTAAAAGAATATTACAACAAAAATATATAAGAATCACTGCACTATTGCAGTCGTGTTTCAGCACATAACAATGTGGCTCTTCAGGCGATTGTAAATTATAGGCGCGTGGACGATTAATTTAGTCCCAAAAGCAAAATACATCCCTATTTTAGGAAAATAAGAAAAAATAAAATAGAATAAAAAAAAATAAAGGCTTTACCCTGATCAAATAAAAGAATATGACCAAGGTTAAATTTAAACTAAGCGAAAAAAAAATAGAATTATAATCTTACAAATGTGTCATGGACAAGATTTGACATCTAACAGCTACTACGCATTAACTTAAAGACTGTTAGAAGCGGGCTGTGGGTAGAAAGTTAATCTAACCGAATGCCTAACTACTTATACGCTTTGTGGATTTCCTATATAATTTTTCTAGTTGATAATTAAGGGGCTTCTCTAAGAAACTAGTAAATAATCTAAACATATAGAATTATTTCGTAAATAATATACAACCGTTAAATAAATATCATCCTTATAAGATGTTAATAATATCAACCAATCTATATAAAATGTCAAAAATACTAACTAAATACAAATGCATACGTATAAGATATTAGTAATACTACCAAGATATCAATACAGAACTAAATTAAACCCCAAATTAATCATGCAACTTTACAAGATAAGCCATATGTGGTGCAACACAGTTCAACTAAAATCTAAGAAAAAAACATTGTCAAAATCCAAAGTCTAACTGAATTGTAAGTCAAAGTGGAGACTGTGTTTAAAATTCACCATTAATTCAGATCTTTGATTTAATTAAGAATTCTTAACAAAGAACCTGGTAAATCCAATTTTTAATGTAAACACAGAAAGCCGGGTTCATATAAGTTTCTACATATCCTTGCCATTCTAAAAATATTCCATTTCACCCTATGTGTTTTATTATCATTATAAATAAAATTGATGTATGATTTCTATAAGTATTATTGGTAATGGAAAAGATATGTTGATACCACCCAGTCTTAACAGAATTCTTAGTATTACCAATATAGAATTTTTCAAACATCGGATTCTCTATTGTAGAGATAGTATTAGGTTGTCCCAAAAGTTTGTAAACACTTGAAAAAAATTGAAATTTTATTCGCCAAGTAATAACAAAAACAACAAAAATTATTCCTCAAAATAAAGACCATAATTTTTCAAGACTTTCTGCCATCGATCTGCAAGCTTTCGGATCTGGTGAAAGTACCATTCAGCCGGCTTCGAATCGAAGAATTCTTGACACGCTTCCTTGACTTCATCAAACGAGTCGAATCGGCGGCCCTTCAGAAAGTATTGCATTGAGCGGAAAGGGCCGTAATCTGATGGAGCACAGTCAGGACTGTAGGCTGGATGTGGCAGAACCTCAACGCCGTCCAACTCTTCAAACTTGTCTTTGGTCTTCCTGGCGGTGTGTGGCTTGGCATTGTCCTGCTGCATCAAAGCGCGCTTTCGGTTGATAAGAGCCGGGTACTTTTGCTTCAACTTTTCGTAGACCTTCTCCAGTAGCTGACAGTAAAGTTCGGTACTGATGGCACGACCATTCGGAACCAACTCAAAATGCACGATTCCTTCAAGGTTCCACCAAACGCACAACATGACTTTCTTGCCGAATCGATCTTGCTTTGGAACCGACGGTGTCTTTTGCCCTTTCTGAACCCATCGCTTGTCTCGATTGTGCTGGACCAGATAGACCCATTTCTCGTCCGATGTCACAATGCGCTTCCAAAAACGCTCGTCCAATGGATTGCTGAGCAATTGACGGCAAATTTCAACTCGTCTGTTGGCTTGTGCTTCGGTGAGGTCGTGCGGATCTTGACGCGGCTTTTTGAGAACAAAATCAACTTGCTTCAAGTGTCGGTGAATTGTCGATTTGCCAACTCCAAGATCATCAGCCAATTCTCGAGTGCTCGATGAAGGCGCAATGTCCAAACCGATTTGCAAGTCTCCATCATCCAACTTTAACGGCCGTCCCAAAAGAGGCTGATCTTCAAGACTCATGTCGCCAGAATCGAAAAGCTTATAACACTTTGAGATCACCGCATATGCAATTGTTCTTTCACCTTCGACAGCACAAATCTCTTCTGCAGCTTTTCTGGTTGAAAGACCTCGTTTCCAGCAGTAACGAATCAAAACTCGCAGCTCAATTTTATCAATTGACATCTGGAATACAAAGATGAAGATCACTATAACAATATAAACGCAAAAAACACAATTAAATAAAAATTTTAATAAAATAATTTTTTTTTAAATTATCAAAATTAACAATAAAGTAAAAAAAACAATTAAAAATTGCATAAAAATTCAAATTTTCGCAAGTGTTTACGAACTTTTGGGACAACCTAATAATTAGATAAACAAGAGATTTAGTTAAACATGTTCAGCAAAGGGCATTGGTCAGAATTCCTACAATTGCATTGACTAGTATCATTATTAATATTTATTTTGGAACATGCATTATGATTAAGATTATTAAATTGATTTAAAATTTATTATTGTGTAACTTTTAATCTTGGCAAAAACCAATGGCGCTGTTATAAATTAGTTTTAATGAGTTTCTATGAAATATATTCCTGAGAGGGTTACTTTTGAGGGATATATATATATATATATATATATATATATATTCATCTGTGAAATACAGTCGTAGACAGCTCGACATTAAGGAGGCACTACTTATTATTAATTATTCACCGACTATTAACCATACACTATTTAGTAGAAGGGATAACGTGTTAGAAGTGTTCTAGAAATAAAAGTATTTCCGCGGTCAACTGCTCGCTCACAACCAATGATCGCCACGGTGCCCGCAAACCGCTCGAACTCCACACTGTAAAACAATTATGTCACAGCCACACAAAGCCTATATATATATATATATATATATATATATATATATATATATATATATATATATATATATTCTACAGAAGAATATTTTTTCTATAGAAGAATTAGCAGTAGTATTCGATCCTGATCTGGCAGCACGGCTTCACACACTTTCCCACCAACGTAATGTTGGTTCCCAGTGATTTAAAAAAAAAAACTTTTTATAGTAATCATTCGGATATGATATCCGCTATGGTAAGTCGACCTTATAAATTTAAATAGCAGTACTAGACTGACGCCAATATCTAATTAATTTACAATTGAGCTGGATAAACGGGACGATAAATTCTATGCTAATAGATTCTTTTCTCGCAATTCTCCCTTGTGGAACACCCAGTTCTCTGCTTTCCCGGCACCTTTAATGTGCCAAGATATCAATGCACTAGAAATTGCTATCTGCTGTGCTACTGATTACCCTTCTTTTCTTCTCGATCATTAGTAATGATGCTGTTCTCTCACTCGCGTCGCGTGCGTGTGGGCTTTAAAATCTTTCGGGCCGAAGCAATTACGAAATCTGAAAAACAAATACAATATAATTTGCAGGAAACAGTTATGGGTCTGGCTGATGAATTTTTCAGAAGAAAAAAAAATATTAAAAAAAATAAACTGATGAAAAAAAAAAATCCTGCCAAGATACTCATGATATAGGTGTTTATTTTCTAGATGTAGTTTTGATGTGACCTGAGGCTACAAGACTGGGGCACCCAGTGGGGAGTGAAATAAATTGCTCAGTCTTAACTGTTCTGGCGAGATAAATTTACTAACCATTACTGCACGTCATATATATGATAAGTAGACTTTGTTGACGTGCAGTAATTGTTAGGATGCATGTCTCGCCAGAACATTTACGACTGAATAATTCATTTCACTACCCACTAGGGGCCCCAGTCTTTCACCCTTGTACCACATGAAACTACACTTTGAAAAACAATATATATATATATATATATATATATATATATATATATATATATATATATATATGTGTGTGTGTGTGTGTGTGTGTGTGTGTGTGTGTGTGTGTGTGTGTGTTATAAATTAGCTGCTTTAAAATATGGTTCCTTCGCTACACAGGAATTACCATGTTTCCAAAAACGAAGCTAAATCTTCAAATTTAATTATATAATTAAATTAAAAGCATTAGTTCTGTTTCAGCTTCCAGCGAATTTTGGAATAACTTATTTTTCATTTAATGAGTTTTAAACGCACATAAAATTCATATTTTTTTTTGCTTCCAAGCGTACAGAGAAATCCAATCATTTAGACAGGGGCGGTACTGTCTTCATTTTTATTAACTATTAATGTATCAATTATGTTCAATTTACGTTCGAAAAAGAGGCTAATTCTAGGTAGGGTAGGAGTGCATTTTTCAACGAATTATGATATCAGTTCATCGCATGTGTCTGTTTTTTTAACGACGACAAAAAGTTTTCCGGCATTTTTTTCCGTTAAATTCGTACTTTTATACATAAAGATTCTTTGTAAAAGGGGTGTTTGGGTTAGAATACGTTATATTGAACTACAATTTTAAAATATTATTTTTTACTCTTAATTACTAATAGACGATATTTCTTTTTAAAACAAATAAATATAATAGAATTACTTAAATTGCGTAAAAAAATATTATTTCATATCAAATATATTTATGTATATTACTAGATCCATTTTTTTAATTATTTTATTTTAAATATTATTTGAGGAAAATTTATGACAATGTTGGCAAAGAATAGCTATTTCATTTCTTTGATTCAGTAAATTTTCATTTTTTATACTTTTCTTATTGTTCTTTCTTTTAACCTACAATATATAATCAATAAAAACACCGGATTATATATCTTACTGCTCTTTCTTTTTTCGATAATATATATATATATATATATATATATATATATATATATATATATATATATATATATATATATATAATTATCTTGGCAGGATTTTGTTTTCATTAGTTCTATTTTATTTAATTATTTTTTTTTCCTCATATCATCCGCATACTTGGTTTCATTGTGTGTGAAAAATGTCCGTACGTCTATGTTGAGCATTATTCGTCATTATTAGTCATTTTCAAGAATTGTCTATGTTATGGTTTTTAAATATTTCTCATCCACGAGAGTTGATATGAGGAAGGTCATAAATCTAAATTAAATTCAGACGTGTTGATGGAGTCGCCCACAAATTATCACCCATTTCTTTAATGCGGTCACGCGTTTCCCAATGTGAATAAATATTTGTCCTTTCAGGAATATCGTTTTTTCTTTTTTTTTTTTTTCAATTTGAAATATACGCAAATGTGACAACTGAAAAATTATGGGGACATGAAATGTGACTCACATTCTTTACTTAGTTAATTTCTAAGCCAGAAACGCACTGCTTCCGAAAGCATAATGCGTAGAGTTAGTTTCCTTACAGAGAATTCAAGTTCTGATTAGAGTTCAGGCTTTTCAACCGAAAATTCCTGTATCTCTTTCTACACTTCCAAATAAATATTTTGATTGACATTTTTTTTCTTCTGCTAAGAATATGTATTTAACTAAATTTTTGATCACAGAAACACGATATCAAGTATGGAAAGCTAGACATGCATACATTTTTTGGTGGCGATGATTTAGTTTGCATCAGCTTCCATCTATGGCTTTTCTTCCCGTGTCGTATTGAAAATATCAAGTTTCTTCATCGCTAGTGACTTTATCAAATATCATTCATTATCATCCATTATTATAAACAAAGAATTCAGTAAAAGTCAACCGACGTAGTCAATATTCAAGGCACAATCATTGAAGAAAACTTATTCCCAAATCATCTATTAGAATCAGCCGCACTTTTCTTCTGCTTATTGTATTCTATTACTCTTCGATTTGAGCAACTCGAGGTGGTGTAATGGTTAGCAAGCTTGTTTCGTTCGAACTATTACGACTGGGTAGTGAGTTCGATCCTCACTTGGAGCCACATACTTTCTGCCATATGCCACATCTAATCTACGCTCGGAAAATCACTTCGATCTGAGCACACCAGTGTTCTCACTCTGTCCACATTTGCGCATGTACTTTGCGTTTCTGTTTAAACGTTCAGTGTTATTTTCTCTCATTCAAATCCGCTGACTTAGCGAACACTGACTGATATAAGATGTTGCAAGATTCAGGGTTACTAACCTAATTATCTGGATTGACGCTCGGGGAGTCCAATACTTTAGATTTGATCACCCATCAATCTTCTAGCAGATGTGTATCGCAGTTCTGAATATTTTTCCTCTGGTATAGTACTTTAAAATCATATTACAATAAAACTAATTATACGCTCTTTTGTGGGCTTCAGCGTACCCGGATTAAAGGAGAATTTAATACGGGATACCCTGCCCACAAAATACAACGCAAATTTCAAGAAGAAACAACACGATAAGGAACGTTTATAGAAAATAGAACATTGTATATTTCTTCTAACGGTAAAAAGATTACTGTTTTAGTTCGTTTAAGCAAAAATATGATTTTGATAAAAATGTCTGTGTTCGCTGTCTTTTAACAGAGTAGCAGAATAATGTCTGTTTCTTTTGTTTTTGTATAGTTGTAAAATGAAAAAGGGGCGAGCAATTTAAGTTGAAAAAGAGAGTGTGAATGAAGAATAAAGATAAAAGGAAAATGTACTTATGAATTGTTTTGGAGTCAGTTGGAAATTTGTTGTTGTTGTTGTTCTTTCCTACTCCACTTTCGGCTCTTTGTGTCGGTTTGAGTCAGTGATGAAATTTACTGTCAATCTCCTGTGATCTTTTGCGTCCTTCTCTGAATGACTGACTGGCGACTGACTTGAAAACTCTCTTTATTGTTGATTTTTTTTTTCACACTGGCTCGTTATCTTTTTTTTTTTTTTGGTTTAGCAAATCGCCTCCTTTCATTGGTCAGAAAATTAATTTCACACCTTATTGTGAAATCTGTTTTTGGTCGTTTTGATCCGATTTTGCGGGTATGCAAATCTACTTCGTGTTTTTTTAGTCATTTGTTAGAATATAGGATTTGTATCCTATACTTTACAAAGGCGCCTTTTATGTTTTTAAAGTCGCTAATACCGATGGTGATCTTGGTTTTGGAATGGATCAAACCATTCTGATAGCATTTCATGAGCACGATGCGTTTTCTTACGGCTCTTTTATTGAAAATATTATATAGATAAATGAACTGCCTCCCTTTGTAGGGGTCGTTGTTACCGGCCCCTGGATTGGGCTTAAAGTAGCCTATCACGGCCTCTGTTTTTCCGGGGCTACCGTCGAATCAACACGG